TTTCTCTCTCCCCCCCCCCCGTGTGTTTGTGTGTGTGTGTGTGTGAGAGAGAGAGAGAGAGAGATTTACTCTTTGCTTTTCCTTTGGCTTTTCCCAAAACATTTCAGCCCCTACCACTTTCCACCACCAGGAACTTGAACCACAGCGGTGTATAACTAAGTTTTTTGGTGGTGGTGGGGAGCTCTGGGGGGGGTCCCTAACCAGCCCTCCCCAGATGGCCTGACACCCCCCCCGTCCCGCCCCTTTTCCCACCAAGAGGCTCCCAGGGGAGTGACTCAGAGGCAAGGTCCTCCTCGGCTCCCCTTCAAAGGGTTAAGTCAACTGAGGAGGATTCCTAGAGAGGAAATGAATGCATGAGGGCCGCCATGTGCAGAGCGTCATTTCCTCTTCCACCGCCTCTCCCTGAAATCTTAAGTGTGATTTCGATGTTTCCGCCTCTGGGTGTCGCAAGGGCGCTTGGGAAACTGAGTTTGGGGCGGGAAGCGGGAGGATGGGTGACCGAGAAGGGAAAGCGCCTGTCCCTCTTCCGTTCCTTAGGGCGACGTCTTCCATCGATTAATTTCTCCCAGCTGATTAACTGGGATTTCTGGGGGGGGGGGGTTGCACCCCAGGCACTTTGCTGCCTGAGGTTGTGCGGAAATGGAGGAACCCCCACCCCAAGCTTTAAGACATTAATATCCTGAGTTTGGGAAAGTAACTTAAAACTGAGTTTGGGGAAAGTAACTTAAAACACGACGTCTCCTTAGGAAAGGAGGTTCCTGTGGACCTTGAAAGCGAACAGCGTGCAAACCCCTCCCTTTCCTTTGCAGGAAAATCAGTATCTATCTATCTATCTATGTATCTATCTATCTATCTATCTATCTATCTATCTATCTATCTATCTATCTATCATTGATTTATAAAAAAACACAATAACGTGTGTGGGGGGGGAAGCATCTATATATATATATATATATTCATGCTTTTCCCCAAGTTATTGTTGTTCTATCATGCTGTCAAGCTGCCTTCGATTGATGGCAACCCGTATGAAAGAGCGATCTCCAAAACGAAAGGGATCCCGAGTCCTGGGATGCTGCCAAAAAAAAAGGAAAAAGAAAAAGCAAAAAAGAGAAAAGAATTAGCTAAAAAGAACTCAAAAGTATTCAAGAATTTATTTGGGGGTGGGGAGAATCAGAATAACTGCTATCCCATAATTTGCACCTAAGGAGTTGCTGTGACCTTCTGTGGAGCTCCCTTCTCAAGCAACCTTCCCTTGGCCCCAAGCAATGGGGACGAATCCTGGCTCCTTACAAGAAGGCTGCCCTTCCTTGGAAGCAAGAATGATTTTTCTGCAAGAACCGGATTCTTCACTTGAGGTTGAGGGTTTCATTCGGAGCACTAGAGTCAAAGCTTGGAGGGATCAGAACCTTTGGACTAAGGGATATGTCTCTTATTTCATCCTCTACACATTTTTCCTGCCTTTCTAGTAATCCCCCCCTTTCCTTTCATTGGAACTCTTCTGAAACTCAAGTGTAGGGACTCGAACCTATGAGAGAAAAGAAGCTGATGGGCAAAATAAGAAGGAAAAGAGAAATGGTGTTTGTGTTTTTGGACTACAACTCCCAGAATTCCGTTAGGCATTTCTGGGACTTGTTTTTTTTAAAAAAACCACAAACCAGCACACATCCAGTGGAAGAGAATATATATGTCTTTACTTTAGAAGTACTGACAAGATAGCTCAAAGGTTCAGAGTTCGATTCCCCACTGTGCCTTCTTGACAAGGGCTGAACTCAAAATTATATATATGTCTTTACTTTAGAAGTACTGAAAAGATAGCTCAAAAGTTGAGAGTTCGATTCCCCACTGTGCCTTCTTGATAAGGGCTGAACTCAAAATTATCCACAGGGTCCCTTCCAGCAATGCAGTTATAAAAAAAGGCAACTGCATTCCCAGTTATCCCAGGATTTCCAGCCCAAAACACCTGAGAGGAAAAAAAATTAAATTTTTTTTGTCCTTAGCTGGCCTGGGCCTTGGCTGCCAACTGGACAGAGATCCTGGGAATTGTAGTGTAACAGAAAGTTCTTTTCCTCAAGTCTGGAAAAATGTAATGGTAGCGCTTTAAACCTCAAACCTTAGGAGTGTAAGGTTTGTGTGTGTGTGTGTGTGTGTGTGGGTAATTTTGAAATAAGGTTGCCCCTTACACACACACACCCATGCATGAGGCTGCTTTGTCCAGTGAAGGCTGGAGAAGGAAATATGGGTAGTTGGAAATCTGTCCTGAGATGTTATTATTAAACCTTAGTAAAAGACAGTTTTGCAATCGGAATCAAAATACCCTGAGCATCTCTCAAGAGGTCAGTCTGCCCCCTCTTTTTTTAAACAAGCAAACGTAGCACAGGACTGTCTTGTAATTATTATGTGTCACCAAGTCACTTTTGACTTACGCCATCACCGTTTCCAGGATTTTCTAGGTAGAGGGTACTCAGAAGTTGTTTCCCATTCCTTTCTTCTGGTGATTTAAATTAGTAAAAAGTAACAGTTGAAGCAACAGCTTTTAAAAAAATGCAGAGGAATTCAGACTAGAGGTTAACACACAGATATACCACATCCTGATTCAAAACAAGGCAGGCTTCTTATGCCTCAAGGCTCCACGTTAAAAAAAAAAATTCATAAAGAAAGAGAGAAAAAGATTTAGTTAGGAGTATCCAGAAAATGAACTTTGTCTGGCTTTCCATTTTGAAAGAAGGCATTCAAAAGATGCAAAAAAGAGAGGCCCCGGACACTAACTTATATTTTTTGGCAAAGAAACAGAAAACCTCTATGCCTGAAAAGGTATCCTATATGTGTCACCTCATTCCAAGTTAAACTGGGTCTGCATTAATTATTGCACCCAAATCTTGCAAATTCTTGGATATTTCCTTTTAATGGCAAAGTGTCTAGGGTTTCGTATCAAAAACACAAGAGACGCGAATCTTGGTAGCAAAAGCTGTTGCTCGATACCATCTATCATCCAACCTTTCATCAAAGCAGTGACCACGCGAAATGTTCAGTCTCAGAAATAAAAAGTACAACGGCTCATCAGAAATACATCATACTGGCGGACCTTCGAAAGAAACACCCGTTCCAGAGTTTGTGTACATCAAGAACACAACATCGCTGGTTGACAAAAAGGACCATCATACAATAAAGAAGCGACCAAGTGCCATGTCGCAGGTACAGTATTTTAACACACATAAGGGTTTTAAAATCTTATTTTCTTATATGTTTCGTCCTATGTGTTACTGAACAGCCAGAGGCAGAGAAGATAGTAAGCTCATTTTAAAAAGGTAGGAAGCTGATTTTCCGATGCAAAATAATTTGTGTGCTGTACTATCTCCAGTAACAAGACATATATTCTGAGGACATTCAGCACTCTTTGAGACTCTCCTCCTTTCCCTCAAGGATGCATCTCCAGTTCTCATATCATTTCTTATATCTAATAGTCTCTCATTGTATTTTGTAAAGCAAAAAAAAAAATCCATCATGGTGATCTTGAGCCAAAGTTTCGGGTGACAGGAACTCCGAGTCTTGGTCAGTCTCCTCTTTATTCACGGACCTGCAAAACCTACCATAGAAAAGAGGGTTGCATGTATGTCCTTTCACTGAGTTTGACACAGGCAATCCGAAGGCCCCTGTGGGACAAGACACAGATTTTGGTCTGATCCAGCAAAATTTTGCTTTATGTTCCCACAAATGAATGAAAATTGGACCTAAGCAAGGCAGTCGTCATGCTAGGGAGGAAACAGAGAGACAGACACAAGCTAACTCTCTCTTTCTTCCCTTTCCCCAATGACTTCAGTAAGCCTTCAAGAAAAACAACAACCACAAAACCACAACCCGCAAGAGAGAGAGCGATCACACACCATATGAAGGAGTCAACCATCAGCTGTGCTGTATGGGAAACACGACTTCTTAAAATTATTCTGGGGTGGACACAAAAAAAATCTGTATCTATTAGATTGTAATTTGAGCGGCTTCTCTTTTCTGTGTGGGCCGTTTGGGGCTTTACTGAGCTTTGATCTCCGCCAATCTGTTCGCACAGTCCAGAAATTCGTACGGTTTCTGCCTTGTATGAATCGTCTGATGTGCAAGGAAACTTCTCTTCTCAATAAAACTTTTCCCGCACTCCGGGCATTTAAATGGCTTCTCCGGGGCGTGAATCATTTGGTGCCTGTTGAAACTTGACCTGTGGGACATGCTCTTCCCGCACTCCAAGCATTTATAGGGTTTCTCTCCCGTGTGGTTCACTTGATGCGTAAGGAGGCTGAAGGCACGGCTAAAACCCTTCCCACACTCCAGGCATTTATAGGGCTTCTCCTTGGCATGAGTTATTTGGTGCCTATTGAGATTTGAACTCAGATTGAAGCTTTTCCCACATTCAGGGCATTTAAATGGCCTTTCCCCTGTGTGAATAATTTGGTGCCTTTTGAATCTCGACAAGTCAGAGAAACACTTTCCACAGTCCAGGCATTCATAGGGTCTCTTCCCTGCGTAAACACTTTGTTTTCTGCTCTGATCTGATCTCTGACTTCCATTCTTCCAGCTTTCTACGTATTCCTGGGGTTTCTCCGCAGTATGGATGAACTGGTGTACAATGAAGCTCCTTTTGTCTATAAAGCTTTTTGTACACACCGGGCATTTATGGGGCTTCTCCCCGTTGTGAAGCCTTTGGTGTCTGTCACGGCTCGACTTGTGGCAGAAACTTTTTCCACAATGAAGGCATTTATAGGGTCTCTCCGCACGGGAATAATTTGGCTTCCTCGAATGAATTGCTTGGTGTTTACTGAGGTACGACTTCTGATTGAAGCTCTTCCCACACTCCAGGCATTTGTAGGGCTTCTCTCCTGTGTGACTCCTCTGGTGTGAAATGAAGCTGGCGTGATAGCGGAAACCTTCTCCGCACATCAAACACTTGTACGGTTTTTCGCCTGTGTGAATCCGTTCATGGGTCCTGAGCAGCCTTTGCCAGCCAAAACTTTTTCCACACTCCATACATTTATAGGGTTTCTCTCCAGTATGATTCCTCTGATGGGCGGCGAGGCCCCTCTTCTCTGTAAAACCCTTTCCACACTCCAGGCACTTGAACGGTTTCTCTTCGGCGTGAATAACCTGGTGCCTCCTTAGGTGCGGCTTCCGCCTGAAACATTTCCCACACTCGAAGCATTTGTAGGGTGCTGCGCCCGTGTGGCCCATCTGATGCACAATGAAGCTTCCATGGTAACGGAAACCTTCTCCACACTGTTGGCATTCGTAGGGTTTTTCCCCTGTGTGAATTCGCCGATGGTTGTTGAGCAGCCTTTTCCAGCTGAAGCTCTTCCCACATTCTGGACATTTATAGGGTTTCTCTCCGGTATGATTCCTCTCATGGATAATGAGGGCCTTCTTCTCAATAAAGCCTTTCCCGCACTCCCGGCATTTGTACGGCTTCTCCCCTGAGTGAATTATTTGATGCCTGTTGAAACTGGATTTGTATGAGAAACTTTTCCCACACTCTAGACATTTGTGGGGTTTTTCTCCTCTGTGCTTCATCTGATGAACAAGGAAGCTTGCATTATAATGGAAACTTTTCCCACACTCCCGGCATTCGTACGGTTTCTCCCCTGTGTGCATTTGCTGGTGGATAACAAAAATATTTTTCCAAGCAAAGCTCTTCCCACACTCGAGGCATTTATAGGGTTTCTCTCCGGTATGCTTCCTCTGATGCGTAAGGAGACCCTTCCTCCCGAGGAAGCCTTTCCCACACTCGAGGCATTTATATGGTTTCTCCCCTGTGTGAATAACTCTGTGGATACTAAGGGCTGATCTGTGGTTGAATGTCTTTTCACACTCCAGGCATTTGTGCAGTTTCCCTCTAGTGTGTTTCATTTGATGCGCCACGAGACTCCTCTTCTCCACAAAGCTATTGGCGCACTCCAGACATTTATACGGTTTCTCCCCGGTGTGAATAATCTGGTGTCTGCTCAAGCTCGATCTGCGAAGGAATCTCTTCCCGCACTCCAGGCATTTGTATGGCTTCTCTCCAGTGTGAATAATTCCATGGGTGTTGAAGCTCGATCGGTGGCTGAAACTCTTCCCGCACTCCAGGCACTGATATGGTTTCTCCCCGAAGTTCTGCTTCGCCTGGTTCCTTGGGCTCTGCTCTTCCCACTCTGGACGCCTGGCTCTTTCTAACGCCAGTCCATTGCTTTCTCCTTCATCCTCACGCTGCCAATGGCCCCCACCTTGAAAGAAAAGAAGCTGCTTATTAGAAGGCAAGAAAAACACACGATCAAGGAACTAGCACCATTCTCTGCTATTCTGAAAGAGGGAATGAATGAGGAGAAAGGATCTGGCCAAATATTTATTGAAGCTTTTTTGCAAACTTGCATGCTGCCTTTAATAAGCTGGGAGGGACCTTCCTGGGCTGAGGTGACCGTCAATTTATCTGGCACTAGCCAATTGTTCTTTCCCTTCCTTCATTCCAAGAGAGCCCCATTTCTCTGCTCAGTGCTTTCCCCCTCTTTAAAGTCTGTGGAAGTCTGCTTGTTGAAAGCAGCCATGTTTGTCGGTTTGCTATTTAATCTGTTCAGTCGTAAGTAATGAAACCTTTTAATTCTTTTCCTTACTAATGCCTCAGAGTGAGTTCATGAGACTGTAAGAGCCAGTTAATGAGAAAAGGGGTGGCCTGCTCTGGGGAACTGGATGCTATGCTGCTTTGTGAATTCTTGTACAGTGGTGCCTCGCATAGTGATCGCTGTGTTGAGCGACGAAATCACTTAGCGATATGGGTTTTTTTCACTTTGCAATGATCGTGGGGAAGCGATCATCGCAAAGCAACCCCTTTTTAACAGCTGATTGCCGCTTTCAAAATGGCTGCCCGCTGTTTTTCCTCGCTTAAGAGGCAGCGAAAATGGCGGTGCTATGGAGGATTTTTGCTTAAGGTGAGTTTTTAAGCCCATAGGAACGCATTAATCACTTTTTAATGCGTTTCTATTGGCTTTTTAATTTCGCTTAGCGATGAAATTGCTTAGCAACATTTTTTCCAGAACGGATTAACATTGCTAAGCGAGGCACCACTGTACGTCTGCTGTGCAGATAAGGAATTTAACCAGGAATTCAAAACTCTGCAACGCTATTAACTTCTGGGTTGGGGGGGGAGAATAATACATGGTCCTCCAAATGTTTTTGGGTTATGATTCCCCACAGCTATTGCCAGCACAGGCAACCATGAGGAATGATAGAAGTATAGGTGTAATGGAACCATGGTTCACAGGGTCAAAGCCACTAGACTTCCTAAGTAGCACAGGCTATGACACCCCCCAAAGACTTCTCTATTTCCTCTGAACTTAGCTACAACCCATGCAGTTGCTGGGAATTTAAAACAAACAATGGCCGCCGGAAGGTCCGGGCCGCATTTTCGCGCCCTGCCCTCGCTTAACGAGGGCGCGAAAATGGCGGCGCTATGAAGAAACATCGCTGAACGGTGAGTTTTCAAGCCATAGGAACGCATTGAACAAAGTTCAATGCGTTTCTATGGCTTTTTTTGTCCCGTTTAGCGATGTTTCGCTATAGCGAAGGTTAATCCGGAACGGATTAACCTCGCTATGCGAGGCACCACTGTATTTCCTCTGAACTTAGCTGCAACCCATGCAGTTGGTGGGAATTAAAAAAAAACTGTTGTAATGCAACATACCTTATTTCCCCGAAAATAAGACCAGGTCTTATATTAATTTTTGCTCCAAAAACCACATTAGGGCTTATTTTCCAGGGATGTTTTATTTTTTTCATGTACAACAATCTACATTTATATGTACAGTCATGTCATCTTCTTCTGGAACATGATTACAACTTTCCAAACCCCGAATTCCGGCCCGAATTTGTTCTGACTCCATTTCCTGTAGAACCACTGGCCCCAACCTCTCCATGTCCAGCAACGGAGCACTCCTTAAATGAGCACTTCCTGTCCAGGTCGCCTGCTTGTAGTGCATTGGCCACCCAGCTGTCAGGGATTTTAGCCCATGGAATTCTTCACCCAAGTCACGACCTCTTGCCGGCTAGGCTTCCACGCTGATTTCTCCCCATTCTGTTTTCAAGGTAGCCATTGATTTCCATGCTCCGACGGTCCTGGAACGGCTTGTTCAGTGCAATATCAAGAGTCTGGAGAGAGGCCTGCGGAAATCATTCTCTGTCTTTAGCACGGGGAGTGCCGGCTGAATCCCCGACTAGCAGACCCTTTTGGCCGCCTCGCAAAACAAGTAGCAGCATTCAATCGACCCACACCCTTGTCCTTGCTTGTGTGCACCAGGCTTTTTTGGGTTTCAAGAACATAAATGCCTGAAAACGTCTTCAATCTGATCTTTCTTGCCTTTCGCGATGATTAGAGGTGGGGGTTTTCTTTCTGTCCAGAATTGCCAAAATACAGGTAACACGTGCACTTTCGTAACCCGTGGAAGGAATGTAGATTGACGAGGCACCCCTGCGATCCGTTGTCGTTCGAGATCCTCGGCCCATAAACACTGCCGTTTCATCCACAGCAATCAGGTTGGAGAGTTGGTATTTAGAAAAGTCGATGCCGTCGACAAAGGACTTGAACACAAGAGCATGTTTAACAACTCCAGTTATCTTACAGCTTGAACAATGCCGTCGATCTTCTTAGAGACAGTGCATATCGGTGGAGGAAGCTATCCATCCAATGTTGTGATGCTTTGAATGCTTCTGGGGATATTTCTAACTGTGGTGCGATCGCAAGGGCAAATGCTTGAATGTCCGCCCTGCGCACAGCCAAAGCCTTTGCTCTCCTGTCAGCAATCCATTCAAAGAGGATGTCTTCCAGATCAGGAAATAATCGCTGCCTACCTGACCCACACTTGCGCTTCTTAGCATTTCCCTCGTCCACCTGCTGACTGAGGTTATCGTACTCTGCTCGCCATTTTCGGACCATTCGGAGATCCAACTTCTTCTCTTTGCAGAAAGCCGTAAGATTCTTTCCCCAGGAGTCTTCCACGATTCCTTTCTTGTACTCGACGGAATAGCTCTTTCTCTTGGCACACATCTTGTCTGGGGGTCAAAATATTATTCCCTTTAAGTCCACCATTTCAGCAAGTGTCAATTGAAGACTTACGAGACAGGAGTGGCAACAGAAATGATGATAGTTAAGAATGATGGTCCACACAAAAGCGATGAAAAACTGCAGTCACCAAAATTCAGAAAACCTTTATTTCACATGTGTGCATTAAGTACGTCCGTTACAAGACACGACGTATTGAATTATAAAGATTCATATTACCGTAGACCAGGGGTCTCCAAACTACGTCTCGCGGGCCACATCTGGCCCGCCTTGCCTTTTTATCTGGCCCGGCCAACGCCGCAGGCTCAGGTCTGTTCCCTTCAGTCTGCATGGAAAAGGCAGTTGGCCAAGGGGATGCAAAGAAGACGATAGAGGAGGAGGCAAGCCGGCGGCAAGAAGCAACTCAGGAAGGAAAAGGGCAGGAGGAGGCAAGCCAGCGGCAAGAAGCAAGCCAGGAAGGAAAAGGGTGGGAAGGTGGTGGTGCTTGTGCTTTGTTACGGTAGCCTCGCCTGGGCATGCACGCGCGTAAGAGAGAAGGGGAAGTGCATGCACTGCACAAGCGCAAGCCCCAAGAGCCATTGGGAACTTAGGCCTCGAGCCGACTTGATGCCAAGGAGCAAGTTCCTGGTGGCGTGCATCTCCTTCCTCCCTGGTCACCCAGCCCCTCCATGAGCCGGGGGGGCAGGGAGAGGAGGGGAAGAAGTTTTAGGTCTCTCTCAAGCGCTTGGAAGCCAATTGAGAGGCAGCCCTTGAGTGTCAAGGGTCCTTGCGAGGAGACCCAGGCTCACAGGCTGTGGCGAGGGGGAGAAAGAGGGTTGGGTTGAAGAGGTGAGAGAAACATGCACATGGGAGAAAGCAGAGGAGACAGAAGAAAGGAGAGGGAGTGGTGATAATGGTGGCGATCCGGGGAGAAAGAGGGTTGGGTTGAAGAGGTGTGAGAAACATGCACATGGGAGAAAGCAGAGAGGAGACAGAAGAAAGGAGAGGGGAGTGGTTATAATGGTGGTGATCCTGACGTTAAGGGCCCCAACACAAACTGGCCTCAAACCCCTTCTGCCGCAGGACCAGACAGTTTCTGTCTCGTTTCGGGAACACACTTGTTGAGGTGGTGGTGGGGAGGGGCAAGTATGGATCCCGCTGGCCCGAACACACTTGCTTGTTGAGGTGGTGGTGGGGAAGGGCAAGTATGGATCCCGCTGTCCCACGGAGATGAAATGGGACTCAATCCCGGTTGCCGCACAATAAGTCCCTGGTGAAGGATGGGAACTGGGGCTTATTTTTGGAGTAGGGCTTATATTACGAACATCCTAAAAAAAATCATATTAGGTCTTATTTTCAGGTTAGGTCATATTTTCGGGGAAATACGGTATTATAGGATGGTTTGTTCTTAGATGTGTAATGAAGAGACACAAACTTTACAAAAAACCTGCCCATTGTTAAAGATACGTGCCAATACAGCTGCGGAGCTATGAGGAGAGTAGCAATCAGCTCCTGTACAGTGAGGGACGGTGGGAACTGGAGGCCAACAACATCTGGACACACACACAATTTTCCAAACCCCCGATTCTACCGGTTCTCATTAGCTCACAAGCAAGGCATTTAAAATGTGGGGTCCTCTTCTTAAGAACTGATTCTTCGGGTTCAATTTTATACTGGCCCATAATGATTTTAAAAGTCTTTCACTTAATGGGGAGTTTGTTACGAAGACATAAGCTTAGCTATACGTGATAAGAGACAAGGCACGGTCACAGCAAAAGACCCGCAGCGACAACACTGCAGCCTATACACTCTCAGTAAATCCACAACCTAAAAGCACGAAATATCTTCTGAAAATGTTCTCACTTTACGAAGCTCACCGGCCACTAGTATAACAATCGCTTTCTCTGCCTTGATCCTACTACACAAAAGGCATATTATATAAAGCTTAAAAGCAACCTCATTCCGGCTCCTTGGAAATGAAAACGAGAGAAATTGGAGAAAAAACATTCCAAGGAAATTTTGGGATAGAACGAATGGGTCTTGTCCTGGGGGAAAAAGAAAATAGATCTGGCCGGAATGCCCTCAAGGCAGGAAATGGGATTTCGAATCCAGGACAGCCAGGAGGGGAAGGCAGCCATATTTCTGCGCCTGGACCCAAAACCAGCCAGCCTTCTTACAACTTCTGCCTCTGCACCCTTAAGATGCATCTCTGGCTGGAGAGGTGGGGCTAAGGAGTGAGGGGAGTGGTCAGAAAAGGACAGGGCGGGGCCAAAAGGGTGCTTGCCAGGGGCGCCCCCTAGTGTCTGTCACTGAAAAAAAATACACACATTTGGAGAAGTCTTAGGATAGAAAATAGGGGTCTAAAAGGTACAGAAACCCTAACTGATAAGCCCCAACATGGATAACAGGGAAGAATTCAGACTGAGAAAATCTAATGGGACAGGGGGAGAAATAAGTGTGCATGATTGGGAAGAGACTGAAAGCAACGTGCATGAATGCAAGTTGTTTAAAAAAGATTTTAAGGTCTGTGTTGGCTGACAGTCCTATCTAGAAGACGTTTCCGACATTCTTATAAGGTCTCTTCCTTATCCAGAATTCGCCCTAGAGGACTGAACCTTCGGTGGGAAAAGGAGAGTCTCCCCTCATTAATTACAAATTGTACCCAAGTTAAAGCCAAAGAATTAGGACCACTCAGGGAGAAAGGCGGGCTTAAATAAAATAAAATAAAAGCAGTAAACAAATGTCCATGTTCAGGGGCAGTGGGCCAGTAAAAAGCCAGCTGCTCAAAAGCAGCCACCAGAGAGAAATGATGGCCGCCCACTTGATTTGAAATGGGCAAGGTTGGAAGAGAAGGACTTTAGACAAGGAACAGGAGGAAGAATGCAGAAATAAACAGCATTTATTTGCAGCTCCGTGTTCTACCTGGTTGGTTTTATAAAGCTAGAGGAAAAGGGATTCTTACCAAGAGAGGCCACCATCCCATAATTCTGCTCCATGACTTCCTGGTGCAGGGCCCTTTGGTCCGCATCCAGCAGCGCCCACTCCTCCTCGGAGAAATACACAGCCACCTCCTCAAAGGTCACCTGAAAGGAGCAAAGGACGGGTGATCACTGCACACAACTGACTAGCTAACGACACCCATCAATCACAGTGACAGATCATCTCCCCCTTGTCACAACAATACATCCCCCCAAAAACCCACCCTGATCACCATAATCACCCAATCTCCTGAAAAGGACAAAAAGCAGATCCCACAGGTACAAATACTTAACTATCCCATACACAACACCAGAACACAGAGTTCTAACTCCTGTCCTCTGAATATGCCGGCCACAGAGACTGGCGAAACGTTACGAAGAAAAACCTCCGGAACACAGCCAAACAGCCCGAAAAACCTTCAACCATAGGTCCTCCTGATCTCAGAGCAGGGCTGGTTCTTCCTCACTTCAGCCGACGCTCCCAGGGACAGCGCTCCAGAGGGACGCCCGTGGAGATCCAAATGGAGGAGAGGCAAGGCTCCAAAGGGGGCCTTCCCGGACTTCCTAGTGGGTAGCTTGAACAAGGGAAAGAGAGAGGCCACTCTCCAGCCAAGTGAGGGGGCCGGTGGACAAAAGATAACCCCCCCCGGCCCTTACCCCAGCATGGTTTCCCCGGATGATTCCCCTACCTGATACCGCTGTGCAGAAGCCGCTTCCTGGGTATCCACGGGAGGAGCCAAGCTGGCCCACATGGCCGATGTCCTTGGTCCTCCTCCTGTAAGGGGCAAAGAGGGTACGGAAGATTAAGAAAAGGGAGTGTCGGGCATCCGGGGTGTGGGTGTCCTTCCCAGACTCATCTGGGGGAGGGGCCCTCAAGGACACGCTTCACCCATCGACCCACAAAGGGGTCACAAACCCTTGACCAGTGTTTTTACTATTACGTACGTGCCACAGATGTCCAGTTTTGAACCACGGCCTTGGAAATAGCTTCAGAGTCAATGCAACCACCCTTCCCCCACTGCTTCAGAGAACCGACCACTCCAGCATCCTTGATGGATGGGAGGCCTATCTTGGCTTAAGAACATCCAGGAAATAAGAGCCCCCCACTTTGCAGGGCAGGAATTTCCTGCTCGCTGTCTGGAGAGCTCATCGGTTTTAGGTCTCTGGCTGCGGAGCCAGAAGTTGGGAGTTCGATTCCCCCACTGAGCCTCCTGGGAGAAGAGCCAGCCTGGGTGGCCTTGGGCAAGCTGCACAGTCCCAGAAATACCCTCCCCCAGAAGAAAGGAAGGGGAACCCACTTCTGAATTTTTGTCTACCTATAGAACTCTGAAAAAGAGTCACCCTAAGTCAGAAGTCGACTTGGCACATAATTATTATGATGATTTCATTGGGGGAGATGGAGGTGCACCCTTTCTCTTGCTGGAAGGAGAGAGAAATGAGCCTCTTTCAATGTCCTAGTGCTGATGAAACAAAATACTATACCCACCAAAGACTAGGTTTCTGGGCGAAGCACATATTTTCCATATACAGTGATGCCCCGCATAGCGAGGTTAATCCGTTCCGGATTAACCATCGCTATGACGAAACATCGCTGTACGGAAAGGGAAAACCCTTTGGAATGCATTAAACTTCATTTAATGCCTTCCAAATGGGCCCTAAACTCACCGTTCAGCGAAGTTCCTCCATAGCGGCAGCCATTTCCGTGCCCTCAGTAAGCGAGGGCAGGGCGTGAAAACGCTGCGCACAGCCATTTTGGGGCTTCCGGCGGCCATTTTGGAACCACTGAATAGCTGATTCCCCAGCATCGCAATGCGAAGATCGGTAAGCGATATTTGCCCATAGGGGCCATCGGTATGCAATCGCATTTGCGATCGCAAAATCCGCATCGGTATGCGGATTCGTCGTTCAACGGTGCACTCGTTATGCGAGGCACCACTGTACTTGACAGGAGTTCATGCCCTGTGAACTCTTACCCAGGGAGGTGACCCCTCCATCCTCTTCCTGCATGACCCGGATGGAATTCTCCAACCATGTTTTATCCGATGGCATGTTCTGTGCTCCAAGAATACAAGTGTCCCTTTCCATGTCCATCCGAAAAAGCTGCGAGAAAGGGAAAGGAACAAAGAAAGATGGGATTATGTAAAGGATGCAAGACAAAGCCTGAAGTGGATGAATGAAAAGGCAGGTGAACAAGAATAGAAACCAACAAAGTATTCATATAATCTGCTCCTTCCAAAGAAAGAAAAACTGTTCTGATAAAACTCTTATTTCATGGTAAGGCTAGCTCCGTAGTTTAGGTATCTGGCTGCATAGCCAGCGTTTGGGAGTTCAATTCCCCCACTGAGCCTCAAAGAAGAAGAGCCCGCCTGGGTAGCCTTGGGCCAGCTGCACAGTCCCAGGGCGCCCTCTGGAGGAAGTAAAGGGGAAAACCACTTCTGAGTACTCTTTACCTGGAAAAATTCTGAAAAGGGTTGCCGTAAGCCAGAAGTAACTGATGTCACATTAGTAAAATTAATATTAATAGTATTATTAACAACAACAACAAGAATAATACAGATAAGACATGGGAAAGAACAAGAGATGACATAAAGTTTAATCAAACACACCATTTCAAGGCATCCCCCAGGATTGAAGGGAAACACTAGTGTTTGTTACTACTAAATATTTACCATGCTATATTTCCTTCTTTTATGTCTCATGAAGCCAACCAATCCACGAAAGCTCACATTAATTTTTTTTGTCTTTTTTTTACTTTTTATTTTTTTTCCCCACCTATAATGTGACTGATAATGAAATTCATAAGCGGAATCTATGTGCTGAAGTATCAGTTTGAGTCGGTGTATTTCTCAGTGACGCTCCTCAACTTCTCCCCGAAGGCAAGCTTCGAAAGGCCTGGATCTCCAACCTCCAGGGAAAGGGTCCTACGTACTTCCTGGTTTAAAGCTATTTCTAGATTAGCAGCAACATTGCACAAATCCAGTTAGCTCCTCTTATCCATAAAAAGAGACAGAATACCCTGGTTCGGGACACATCTGTTTTTTTCCACAGTGGTGTTTTGGGTTTCATTAAAGCTAGCATCCCAAAGGGGAAGGTGACCCATTCCCTCCCTAGACGATTTCCATTAAAAAGCTGGAAAAATTTAGGATAGCTTTAGGATATTGAGCATCATCTACTTAGACCCTTAAATCTGTCAACAGGAAAGCTTTCTCACCTGCTCCTCCTCTTGCTTCTTCTCTCCCATCTGATCCAGGAAGAAGCCTTCTGCCAGGGCCATCATGAGGCAACTGGTCTGTGCTCCACCGTCTCCCATCCAAGCCTCCATCTTTGGGGGAAGGAGGGTCTAGAGTTTCACCAGAATCACCAGATCCAAGATCTGAGTCTTCGTCTGCTACTCTGGCTTGAACCTCTGATGGCAAAGATCGTGGTGTCGGCTGCAAAACTCACGGGGCGCCCTCTGCCTCATGGCCACAGGCCTTCTTCAAGAGATGGTGGCGCCCATTTTAGCTGAAACAACAACAACAAAAATATCTTGTAGCACCTTCAAAACGAAAAGGTTTAATTTGTAATCACTTTTTTGTAGGAGGTGGCCCACATCTTTCGCAACCGACTACCAGGCAGGAATTGAGGCCTCTTCCTACAGAGTGTTGTCTATTCATCTGTCTTCCTTCTGGGCTCCAAGACCTTTTTTATTCCTCTTCTCTCAGGTTACGCCATAAAGCAATGGATTTGTGAGGACATTAAGTCCTAGAAATCCCACATTCCTCCCCCACACACACACCTCTGAAAAATCTGTGACTTAGCTATCATTACCAAATCAAGCCTGAACTATCACTGGAGGCAAAACATGGTGAAACTGAGGCTGTCCCACTTTGGACACGTTGTGAGAAGGAAGGGTTCTCCAGAAAAGGCAAAAAATGCTTTAAAAAGTGGAAGGCAGCAGGAAAAGAGGAATGTGAGATGGACTGACTCTCTAAACGAAGCCATGAGACTTGAGTCCGCAAAAAGCTGAGCAGGGCTCTTGAGGACACGACATTCTGGAGACCGCTCATTCACAGGATTGGCAGAAGTCGGAAATGACTTGGTAGCACGTAAGAGATGCAAGGAAACTCAAAAATATCCCTTTTTTCCAGACTGCCATCTCCACAATCCTGCAGCCAGCTTTTTTCTGGGAGTCTTTAAAAAAAAATCAAAGCTTCCCAGCTCTGATATTACTGCATTCTCCCTCTCTCCTTTTCCATTTCTTACAATGCCTCCTCCCTCAAGCCTCCATCTGTCATCAAGAAACATTAGGATTTATATTATTTCTATTGGATCCTGAATACAGCGGACTAATCTTAAGGCTAATAACTGTGAGCATTTCTTTGTTTTTTTTCCAGGCATAAGATGATCCAGGAAGAACAACTGGACATGATGGTGTGGGTATGTTGTTATTTTTTTTTACCTTCTGGTATCTGTATATATATCTGGTATATTTGAGAGCCAGCATGGTGTGTAGAGCTTGGGAGCACTGCTTTGAGATCTCACACACCCAAAAACTAGGAAATTGGGGCCAATCCTTGTCTCTACCTGGCCTACCTCACAGGGTTCCTATAAAGATCAAGTGGGGCAGAGAAAGACAAGATATAACCCATGTTTCCCAACCTGGGGTCCCCAGATGCTCTTGGACTACAACTCCCAGAAGCCTTCTCCACTAACAGTGCTGGCCAGGATTACTCGTTGTCCAAAAACATCGGGAGACCCAAGGTTGAGAAGCACTGACGAGGATATGAAGTGTAATGGAAGAAATATCAGTAATAAATTAAACGAGCAACATATATCAGCAAATCAGCACATCAGGAGTTTCACCAAGGGAGATTTTTTAAAAAAAAAAACATTTTTTCAAGCAGCAAATTCACTGCTCCATCCCCCCCACAGATAGTGGGGGGGGGGAGTTGTTCCCAGATTTCAAAGCCAGTTCTAGAGGCTGACACCTCTTTCCGAGTTGCTCTACAAGAGATTGAAGCAGTTCTCTCTCTTTGGTCCTCCCTTTCATTCAAAGCCCTGAATGACCTGATCTTCAGCTAGGTTGGGGGAAGAGTCTGACCCGATGTCTCTTCAGCTCAGGGTTTCCTCCAGGTAGAACATTCCACGCTCCATAGGGGTCCTCTCTCCACCTATCAGCCAGCCATCTCCATAACAAAAGGATTGCGGATGCCTCAGCCTTTCTCCCCCCATGGAATCCTTTCTTACCCCAAAGGGGAGAACATTCCTTTCTTCCCCTAAAGAATGAAGGCAGATGGCCCAGCTTTCCTCCACTGCACCAAACATCCACCTTCAGCCGTGATGGGGGAACCTGTATCTGTCCTTCCAATAGGCTTAAGACTCCGAATCCCATACACCCCCAGCCCAGAAGAGCTGATGGGCAAAGATGCTCGGAGGGCTGCGTCGCAGGACACCATTCCTACACCATGATCCGGCCGGACAATCCTGAGAATAGATTGCATTCAAGGTCAGACTGCAAGGGAGGGGGAAAAGTTTCTATGGACGTTGATGGCTTCGTGGGGACTTGGGATTAGAACACGGCAGTTCGAGACTCAAGGGCAAGGTTTCCCATCTTTGGGACCCCAGATATTCTTGGACTACAACTCCCAGAAGCCTTCCCCACCGCCTGTGCTGGCCAGGATCTTTGGGAGTTGTAGTCCAAGAACATTCGGTGACCCAAGGGTGGGAAGCCCTCTTCTTGTAGTCCAAGAACATTCGGGGACCCAAGGGTGGGAAGCCCTCTTCAAGGGACAAAACACCTCCCCTGCCCTCCAGGACCCACCTCTCTCCTCCTCTCAGGGCGAAGAGGTTTCCTACATACAAAATCCACTCCCCCCCATTCCTCCTAGGGTGGGAAACAAGCTAAAAATAAATCCATTTAATCCACCCAGCAAGCACGGGATTAAATTGAGCGGATACCAAAGGCAGAAAGAAGACCAAAGAAAAAAGAAGAAAATTAGAATTAACAGCACGAAGCCCCTCTTTATGGCTGGGGGGGGAAACTAGGACATCCCTTCCCCCCCGCATCTTCTTGGGACTCCAGCTCCCATAACCTGTAGGCACTGCGGCTGGTGGGTGACGAATGATGGGAGTTGTAGTCCAAGGGCATTTGGCTTCCCCAATGGAAGAAGTGAGCTTTTCCTTCTCTCCCCCCCCCA